CCTTCTCCTCCTGGCTTTTGCTCCTTGCCTTTGAGTCAAGGGATCTTCTTTTTGTTTTTTGAGACTGGTCCATAGGGCTTGCAGATCTAAAAGGCATGGGGAGCAGCAGGTCTGTCTCCAAGGTCCTGGAGGCTTGGACCGCTGTGGCCATCTGTGATGGGGAGCAGTGCTGGCGTGGGGCAGTGCTGAGCTGGCCAGACCACTGGAAGCGGGACATGGAGCCTCAGCTGCCTTCAGCAGCTCCCAGGACCTGTATGAGTGCAGACCAGAAGGTGAACTCTCTTTTCCTGCTCATGTAGACATGCACCGCTCCTAGCTGGGCCATGGGGATGCTCCCATTATCCAGAGAAGTAATTAGGAACAGGAGGAGGGCTTGTCCATGCTGGTGAATGGAATAGAATAGCATCACAGAATGGTTAGAGTTGGAAGGGACCTTAAAGATCATCCAACCCCCCTGCCATGGGCAGGGACACCTCCCACCAGAGCAGGTTGCTGAAAGCCCCATCCAGCCTGGCCTTGAACACCTCCAGGGATGGGGCATCCACAGCTTCTCTGGGCAACCTGTTCCAGTGCCTCACCACCCTCACAGTAAAGAATTTATTCCTGATCTCTCATCTAAATCTCCCCTCTTCCAGTTTAAAACCATTACCCCTTGTCCCTTCACTGCACTTCCTGACAGAGCCCCTCTCCGCCTCTCCTGTAGGCCCCCTTCGGATATTGCTAGGCCGCTGTGGAGGAGGTGAGGAGACCATCCCGGGAGGTGAGGGACATAGTGCCAATGCGGGACGCGGTGCTCAGGGGGCTTCCAGGAGCGGCGGGGATCCAGCGGGGCTGCGCAGCGGCGGGGGCAGGTCCCTGCCGGCGGCCCCCGCTGCGGGTCCGGGCCGGGGTCGGGATGGGGCACCGACCTGCCTGAGGAGCATCCAGGCAGAGGGGCTGAGGGGGAGGCAGGCGCTGCCGGAGCCCGGCGCTCACGATCTCCCGGGTTCTCTTTTCCTCTCCTTCCTCTGTTTGTAACTTGTGGATGAGGAGTGCCCGAGGTTCCAGGCCTCGTTTCCGCGGGTGGTTACCGTTCCGCGGTATCGCGCCGGGATCCCTCTCCCTTAATAATACTCTATATTGCCCCCGCCGTGACTCTCCGGGAAAGGCCGCCCGCTGGAGCCGCAGCCGCGGGGCTGCCGAGGGTCTGTGCGGCGGGACGCCGGGCTGAGATCTCCCCGCCGGTGCCTTTTTCCAGCGGGCGGGGACGGGACGGT